AGGATCGATCCAATGAAGGGGATCGATCCACTCTGTGGATTTTCAGCCACTGTTCATTCGTCTTCAACCTCGGTCCATTTTTCGGGAAAACCATTTTTAGTCACCGAACTTCAATTAAACTATATAGAGGTGTTCTCCAAGGTTCATAGATCATATTAGAATTATTAAAACATATTTTTAACATCAAATTCAAGGTTTATGATTCTTGGTTCTTCAAACATGTCAAACACAAAACTCAACCAAATGACCATTTGTGAACGTAGAAACGACCTATATGAACATTCTAGTCATTAGATATATCTACGGGCTTACCTCGAAGCTTATTGAAGGTTTTGGAAATTTTCCGGCGAAACTTCCAGCTACTCTATCTTACTGCTCCGGCGACCTCACACAAAGATGACAGCACCACTGCGTTCTACACACTCAAAGCTAACTCTCAGAAGCAATTTGGAAAGAAATGGTGAAGAATTGGGTAGGAAGAGGTGGTCCTTATATAGCCTTAGTGAAGAGGAAGCAGACACGGTGATGACATCCTTTCGACTGTTACGGCGGCTGAGTGGAGTGGGCTGCTACCTTCTCCGATTCTAAACGTAAGTCCCTGATTGGGACTAATTTGGTCCCAGTCGGGGAACACTTTTTGGTCCAACTTTCTCCGAATTGAAATCCGTTTGCACCGTTGTGATCGTACATTTAAACTCTATCCAACGATATAATTTTTATATTTATTTGTAACACTTTTTCTGACATCATATTTTTTTGGGTGGTTGACTTTGACAGAGTCAAAATTGGCCTTTATTCAAAAAGGTTCTCACATTTAATTCATATTATTTATTCCCATGATTTATTTCAATGAATCATTTCAAAGTTCACTACATAACTAATTTCTTTATTTATTCTTGATTTGGGTCAGTAGTCATGTTCCCAATCAAGACCACACAAATATTCAACATATTGGATTTATCTCTATGAGATTTATCCAGATTAAGATATTGGATATTAAAACACATTTCATTTCGGCCCAAAGCCCAATAACTATTTATTTTAATCGAAACAAATTTGACTAATTGAATATTTATTCATTAAAAATTTTAGGGTATGTTTTAGGGCGTTACATTTCTCCCCCCTTAAAGGAATTTCGTCCTCGAAATTCTTCTAAAGGTCAACGTTTAACATTTCGTAGTGATCTCATTTTATCATGATCGTGTCATGTTCATTTGGTTAAACCATATTTACGTCATTATCCAAACGGATACGTATTCTCAAACTGTCGATGTTATCAAACTCGTTCTTTCTTCAAGAGATTAATAGGCAAGGCATCCAACAATCCATTTCATAGGTTCCCGCTCAGATTCAACAACCATAACTTAAGTTCCTTTGCAAGGTATAACATCGTATTTTGGATCATACTAGACTTATTTGTACATCATTTCGTTCATTCACAAGTCTCGATTGTATGTCATTAGTCAACAACATTCTTTCTTTGATTGAAAGTCCCTTAGCAGTATTCGTAGTTTTGAATCACAATAGATGTAGTGGGAGATTCCGAGGTTGTTTCAATCCATACGTTTTAGCGAAATCATCCAAGACATCTTCACATTATTCATATAGTTCAGAATGATTTGTAAGTAACATCAAATGGCTTTTCGTGGTCCAAGATTTTCAGGATATGGGATTTATCATACATTGTGAGGAGGTACTACTCGTTGTACAGTAGCTTGTCATTTATCAACCTTATACCAAAACATTTCTTCATTTACTTCATGGTAGATCTCATTATCGTTAATGAGTCTTCGTACTCATAGGTGATGACGTTCGAGTAGCGTCTCATGTACGACTTGTCATATTTAAACTTCTTCTATTAATTTGAAACCATATCTAGATATGATAGCGACAGATTCGATTGTAGCACTATGGCTGATCTTGTTTCAAGGGAAGAAGAGAATATCTTCAGTACGCGATTCAATTCATGAATTCATAGAGTGAGGGATCTTTACAAGTTCTAACACCAACATCGCATATAGGTTAGGGATTTTTGCTTGAATGATTCAGCTTGTTCTCTTGACGTCATTTCTTCTCTGGTTGTTGCATACACATTTCCTTGTCAAGGTTATAATGGAGTTTGCTTGGTCAATAAGATCATCGATAACGTAATTGTACTGATTGTTTTGTGGTCCACAAAGAGAGGTTCAACATAATGTTCAAGTCAAGGTAGTTTTACTATTGTGATCTAGTCACGTATTCCACAAGGTATAGTTTTCAAAGATCGGTATCATAAAACATCTTTTTGTTTAATGAAGAATCGTGGTTTTATTATTTTGATACAAAGAATGAAATTCAATCTTTTCAAGATTGATCAAGCGGGATGTTTCAAGGGTGTAGTTAACACATCAAGTTTGAGTAATTCAAGGATATGAGTCATAAGATATCAAGATAGCATTTGCAAATTACCGTTACTAATAGTAGGTTTTCTT